CCTGCTCGCCAACATCTCACCTGGTCATAAAGAGCTGGGTTGCTACCTGCCGACGCATGCGCGCTGGCCTAGGAATTCACTCCGCCAGCCCCAGTCCCAGCACCTCTCTGTGCTGACCTGGGAAGTGATGGATTTATAGCCACGGCAATCTCACCATCAGCTCCAGCTTTTCCTAACAGCCCTAACCCGCTTTCCCGGTCAGTCCCTGGCCAGTGAACCGAAGCCAGGGACTGGCTGCTGAAGGTTGCTGAGTCCCACGCGGGTGTGAGCGTGTGTTTGAGCAGTCGTGTAGTGGCTGCATCTGCAAGATCATTCCACCTTTCCCTTGCCCCCCGGAACTTTTGGGCTAGAGGAGGGGGGATGGGTTGGGGGATGGGCCAGACCTGGGGAAGGCCCAGATCCAGAGTCCCGGCACACCTGGAGGTTAGCAATGGGACAGGGTCCCCGCCCCCTCCTCCTCACCCGCCCAGGAGCTTCAAGGCACAGCCTGCCTTAGCGGATCTGACTGCCACCCCCAGGGCGGCCTCGGCGGTGGATTCCAGATCAAATGTTGCTCAATAGGTGAAGAAGATATTCGCAATTCTGCCTCATTTCTGTCTCCGAGATTTAGTCTCCTCCCAGGGGCAGAGGGGTCCGGGGGAGAACCACAAACACACACAGATGCTCTTTCACAGTGGAATATTTAACACTTAAGTATATAGCCCACCAGCCCACGGTTCGTGGTCCCATCCCCATGCCCCATAAGACTTTCAGGCTCTTTATCTTTTTCATTAAAAAAAAAAAAAACTTTTAAAAGCGAGAGTGGGGCGTTGATGGCTCTGGGCTGGGCAGCTGAGGTTTAGGGTTGGGGTTTGCTTTCCCATGACAGATAAAATCGCTCAAGTGACTTCACTACTGCTTTAATTAGAGGGGAGTTTAAAAGAAGCCACAGGATTTGGGGCTCCCATCTTGCTCATCTCGGTCAGCAATCACACCTGGCCAGGAACGAGGCGAGGAGATTGGCCCGGGGGTGGGCGCTCTGCTCCCACAGAGAACTGCAGCAACCCATTTCCCCAGGAACCCAAGAGATCTCGGGTTGTACTGAGTGAGCTCAGGCCTGGAGCACTTGGGACAGCAGACTCGGTCATTCTCCTGTGGCTAACTTGGGGAGGAACAAAGAACCCGTCTGAAACCATTTCTCAGACATGTCAGCAAATATATGTAAAAGGTCAGCTGCGAACTGGAGAGTGGAGAAGATGTCTCCACCCCAAAACTCCTCCTTCCTACCCTAGCGGAGGCCGGTCTAGATGGTGCACCCCACTTGAGTGTCAAGGGGAGGAGTGCTGGTGTCTCTCCTTGGAGTCCCTTCAGTATTTTAATCGTCCCTTAATCTGCTGGCCTTTCATCTCAGTGCCGATTTTCTACTTGATTGGAAACTTTCTTGGATCCGTCTTAAAACCTTGCTCAACAAGTTTGGAGTTTGTTTGTAGGTGGAGTTTTTGGGTTGTTTTCCCTTTATTTTGTTTTTGGAGACAATTAATAGTCAAATTGTGTTTTAAACTCATGAATGCCTACACTGAACCCTCCTTGGTTTTTTGTTTTTGTTTTCTTTCTTTCTTTCTTTCTTTCTTTCTTTCTTTCTTGTTTTTTTACAGGCTGTTGAAGAGTGGTGAAGAGTGGTGAAACCTAGTTTTTTGATCCAAGACGCACGTGGAGCCAGTGTTTGCAGCTCTTTGTGCTTCCCTTGGGGGGCGCTGTGCTCCTTTACAAGTGAGCAATGGTTACAGATCCGTCAGCCCTGCCGTTCCCTAACACAAAAGGAA